GACTGAGAATTATTCCACCTCATTAAAGGCTCCGGGGCGCGCATGTGGGGGTAATGAAAGCGCAGCGCTCCCAGGGAGTCGCCGGATGTTTTCCATGAAAGATCAGGGTAGAAGAGGGAACCGAAACATCGATTGGAAAGTTTTCCAGCCTAGCTCGAAGCCGGGCGCGGCGGCGCACACCTGTGATCCCACCATTCGGGAGGCTGAGGCAGGAGGATCGCTGTGAGTTCGAGACCAGCCTGCGCTACACGGCGAGACCCCGTCGTCTTCGGCCCGCCCTCTCTCCTGTCAGCCGGCAGCCGGCCTCGCGGGCCGCTTTGGAAATGACTTCGTGCTTCCTGCAAACGGCCACGCGCAGCTCTGTCCCAGTCCCAGCCTAGCTCCAGACGCGGGCCGGGCCAGCCCGCCCGCTTGGCCGTGATTCAGCTCCTGCGCCTTGGGGCTCCGAGGTGTCTGCTCAAACCGAGCTTGGGGTGTCAGCGTCCTGGAGCTGGGCCTCTGCTCACTCGCTGCGCCTGTTTTCTGCCAGAGCGGGGTCTGCCCAGCCGCCTGCCGGGGGTCGGTGACCCCAGGACGTCTCATTAGCTAGAGCCGCCGCTGGAGCCGCTGCAGAGAAAACGCTCCGTTCTTCCTGGCTCGGAAAAGCATTTAAAAGCTTCTGCGGATTCTGAAGGCTGCGTTTTGTCGGGAGGTTCATTGTTTAAAGTCTCCTTAGCGATGCTAAGTTGTTCTTAGGGAGGAAGAAGAGGAGACAGGAGGATGGAGGGGCGAGGCAAGGGGACCCAGGAAAGAGAGGAAGAGGAGAGATCGTACAGGGGGAGCCCAGGACTCACACACGAGCTGCCCTAAGCCTGCGCCAGCTCGGTCCTCAGAGTGCAGGGCTGTGCCGCGGCAGCAAAGGCATTTGGGGTTGGGCACCGCGGAATTCTGAAGACAAAAGTCCCTTTCCGAGGCGCCTTAGTTTACACAGACGCGGGTGTATCCAAGGGACCCGGGTGCTCTCATGCGGCCGGAGGCTGAAACTGGGATTTCAAAGTTCCGGGTCTCCTGCAGGTGCTTCACAACGCACCTCCTAACGAAAACCATCGGGGCTCCGTGTTAAATCCTCCAGGGGTGAGGATAGCTCCATGGTTATGTCCAGAATTCTCCCCTCCCCTTTCTGGAGATTGTGTGTGCAAATGTGTCAGAAAAAAAGAATTATGCCTGGAATTTGCTTGAAATTAGTTCAACTAAAAATAAAGCAAGTTCCGCATCATCAAATTTATTCATTATAGGTGACAGGTATGTGAGTAGCTGTTATATTTTCCTGGTTTTTAAAAATGTATTTGAAGTGCTCTTAAAAATAACATTTATTCGCTTATTTTTGGTATTGGGACTCGAGCTCAGGGCCTCACGCTTGCCAGGCAGTGCTGTGGCACTGAGCTACATCTCCGGCCCAAAATAACTTTTAAACAACAAAAAAAGGCCATTTTAACCAGGCGTAGTGGCCTGGGCCTATAAGCCCATCACCCAGGGAGGCTGAGGCAGGAGGATCACTGCAAGTTTGAGGCCGGTCTCAGGTACATTGAGAGTTGAAGGCCAGACTGTAGCAAGACTGTCTCAGACAGACAAGCAACCAAGGAGCAAGGGCAGAATTCGAGCAAGATTTTAAGGATTTTTCCTACCACTCAAATATGAGGGTATTAGAATGATCTTAAATTGGACTTTACGCCTATGAATCCAGCAAATCTTTTCCCAAATCCCATCTTCAGTTAGAAATGTAAACTTTCCAACAGCTCCCAGCAGTTTCTGTAAAATTCCTGAGTTCCTCCTGTGCTCTTCCCAAGCCCTGGAGGCCTGAGGCTTCCCTGGGCGAGCTGCCTGCTGCCGCCCCCTGCTGGCCACCACTGCCATCGCAGCACCGCGGGGCAGAGAGGTGCAGGCCACACGCATCCCGGGCTGACCTGTGAACAACCGGTCTCCAGGGCCAGGACAGAAGAGCTACGGGCACCTCGGTGGGAAGTGTGGTCCCAGACGGGAGCCTGCGATGGAAAACACTCCTACCTGGGGCATCGTTGGGACGACGGATGGCAATCATGGGGCAAGACTAAAACGCAGCGTCAGTGTGAGAGTACAAGAGTTCTCTAATATTTCTGCAACTTTTCTATAGCTACAAAAATTATTTCAAGGTTACAAAAAAAGCAACCAACAATAACCAGTTACTTTCAAAATCAAACACACGTCCTTCCCACATGACAGTTTTAACACGGCTTCCGGAGATAAGATAAGCCTCAGCTCGTCGGGCACAGGTTTTATTTACTTTTCTTTAATTTACAGAAAATATAAGCACAACTGCTCAAAGTGCAGCGTTACAATCTATAGGTAAGCCCACACTTCCACCAGTGTGAACCCCGAGAAGCCGCGTGATCCTCAAATATCTTCCAAGGTAGAAAGTCCTTCTCTCTTAAATAAGTTTTCGTATGGAGTCAGGTCCGTGTGCCGCAGGGAGGGCCTCACAGGGCCGAGCGATCGAAGAAAGTGCTCCTGACGCACTGCGGCTGCGTCCAGCCCGTCCTCCTGCAAGGCCAGCAGGGCCGCCTGGGGGAGAAAAGCACGGGACAGTCACGCCGCGGTCCGACAACGGACAGTCACGGTGACACTTACGTCTCGAGTCACAGGATTCCAAGATCCACGATCACTGGAAACGTTAAGCTAAAGAGTTACAGCAAGCGACTGAAAATCCACATCGCAGGACAGATTTCTCCTACATGAAAACTCCAGCCTCCCACAGAAGAAAAAGCAGAACAGTGAACACAAGGCGAGACTGAGAAACACAGCGAGTGCTTACGTCTTAACCAGCTCCTTACACAGCGCCAGGCATCTCCAAGTACCCCTCCCTCTGCACACACAGATGCTATCGTCTTTGCCACTGTCGGAAGCAGTTCTGGCTTCTCTTGTGTCTTTAGTTTCACTGTCACGGCTACCTTGATGCCTGAATCACAGGGACTGCAAACGTTTGTTTCAGTCATTTTGGCTTCGGGGAAAAGCCACAGCTCGCACAGTGCCAGACCGGACAGACAGGTGGACGGGACACGGCCACACTCTGTCCAGCTGTCCCTCACTGGATGTCTTGTTTATCACAAGTTGTAAAGACTCTCGGGAAGAGGGCTCCGGAGCTGCTCCAGAAAGTGGCAAGTGTGATGGCATGTGTGTGTCTCACGTACGTACTCGTGGTGGTGGACTTTTCACTGTAACACATTTTTATTCACACACACACTGCAGTTTTTGATCAGCCCATTTACATTGCGAGACCACATTATATTTTTTTAAAAAAGGAGAGAAACCTTCTGGGGCTTGGAGCAGGAAAGTTTTAGACAGTATTCATCATTCTTCCAGAGGAAAAGATCCAACACACATTCTGACCCGGCAGCTCTTTTTTTTTTTTTTTTTTGAGACAGGGTCTCACTATGTAGTTGAGGCTGACCTGGAACTCACTGTGTAGCCCAGGCTGGTCTTGAACTCACAGCGATCCTCCTGCCTCAGCCTCCCCAGGGCTGTGACCCGGCAGTTCTGATTGTAGCAGTGCACATATACAAAACATACAACCGCACACGTACACCAGGAGAGACGTGTAAGACTGTTCACAGGGGTGTGTTCGTAACGGCAGCAAAGTGGAAACCCAGATGCTCACTCATGTAGGAACAGAGAAACAGGATGTGGACCACACCGTGGAGCACCTCGCAGCCACACAGCCACGGAAACACACACCGTGGCTACACACGAGGTGCACACTCGTTTCTGACAGGACCGCTGGTCTGCCGGCAGGGAGCTCGGCTGGCCTCGGGCATGAGCGGACGGGTCCTTGCGCTGGAGGCGTCCCCTCTCCTGACACAGGCGGCGGTGACAACACTGGGACCCCTTTACAATACCTGTAACTGCCACCTAGACTGGGGCCTTTCCCTGAGTGCTGTACTTAGTAAAAGCCTACAGAAAACGAAGAGCCCACAGTGGCTCCTTCTCCCGAGAATAAAATCTAAACGCCTTCGGCGGCTGACGAGAGTCCTGCGAGCTGGCTTCTGCTCGCTTCTCCACACGGAGGGGCATGGACGTCGTCCCGTCCTTCACCGGCCCCCGCTGACCGCCCATCAGATCTGGGTCTCGGCCTGCGTCCCCTCAGGCTGCCTTCTCTCCGCTGAGTCTGGGCTCGGCACTGCCACGCTTTGCAGAGCCACGGACGACGTCCCCGGCCCAGCCTCGCTCCCTCCCTTTTTACAATTAAGAGACGGCGTCTCACGGAGCTGCCCGGCCGGCGCGGACCTCTGCCCCGGACGGAGTCTCCGAGCAAACGCCTAGTAAACGCGATGCAGTGAGGAGTCAGGACAGCTGCTCGGAACCTCGCATCCTTCACCCATAAGAACTTACTTCTCTGCAGAGGTTTCTGAGGTCAGCTCCAGAGAAGAAGCGCGTTTCAGCTGCTAGGCTTTCTAAGGAGACATCGGGTGCCAAGGGCATGTTCTTCGTGCAGACCTGTAAAACGGAAAGTCTGCCCTGGAAGGAGGGGGAACAGCACAGCTGTCATCCTGGACCACTCCCGCCTGTCACACTGTACGCGTGTACGGATATATATTTAGATACACAAATACATTTGGGACCCAGACACAGAAAAATTACTTCACTGGTAAATTAAGCCATTTACCATATGGTAATGGTAAAATGCTAATACCATAAATCGCTAAGGCTTTGATCATCAGTTTTGTTTGCTTATTTCTCCCAGGACCGGGGATCAAACTCAGGACCTTGTGTTTCCCAGGCAGCATCACCGAGCTACACAACCCAGCCCCTCTTCCCCCCTGGGTACCAGGGTTCAAACTGAGGATATCATTCATTTTTGGTCTCCAACCATGGGAACAGCTCATTAAGAGAAACATGAACCTCTTTAGGTACAAAAAGTGCTGCTGGAACGGTTTAAGCAGCAAGGGCACAGATTACCAGGCAGAATCTGAAATGACTGCAGACATTTAAAGTGTTTGATCCCTTGAAAAGGCGAAGCTCCCCCCTCCGCACCATCCCTGCGGGCCCTGCTGCCCAGGGTGGCGGGGTGACCAAGGCTGCTCACTGGGAGCTCACTCTGCTCCGGGACCCCGGTGCCTCATCCCCTCCAAAGCCCGTTTTGCTCCTCTGGAGCCCTCAGACACCCCCTGGCCCGGGCTGAGTGGCCACAGGCGGACACCGGGCACCCAGGGCGCGGCGGCGACGCGGGGCAGAGGCACCTTCTGATCCGGAGGGGGGATGTAGAGGACCCTGTCCAGTCTCCCGGGGCGCAGCAAGGCGTCGTCTAGCACATCCGGCCTGTTTGTTGCTGCGACGACCATGACATTCTGATTCAGAACTTCTTCAAATTCTGAAGGAAAACAACATAAGTAACACCAGGAACCGCGGGCAGTGGGAATGCATTCACATCACCGTCCGAAGGTCTGGCTGTCTCTAAGCGGGTGGCCTTGGGGTGCTCACACCCCACGCAGTGTACCCCGGAGAACACTGCTCCCCTGGGAGCTCAGTCCTGCCCGAGGCTTCCCCAGGCCCGAGGGCTCCTCCACTGTCACCCGTCTCTCCAGAGGCAGAAATAACGGCCATTAACCCGAGCGTCAGCCAGCAGACCCCGGAGTAAATGAGAAACGCTTACAAGTGGACAGGGCCCGGCTCACGCACTGGGCGGTGAGACCAGCTCTTGGGCTGAGGGGTCCCAGCGGTCTTTCAGGGGCGACTCCCCCGCCCGCTGCAGGGAGGGGCTTGGCTGGCCCCAGGGTCCCTTCCACTTCAGGTGTGACGTGCTCCTCACCAAAGGAACAGCTTTGAAAGGGAGAAATAAACACGAACAGAGGAGAAGAGGAGAGAAGTGGTGGATGGGGTAATGAGAGCAAACCGGACAGCGAGGAGAGCCGGACACGAAGGAAGAGGCCGCCCCACGGGGGACCAGGCCGTGATCACGTACACGAACACTGGCTCGCTTTACACAGACATTTTGGGACAGGGTGGAAAGTGGCTGTTTAGGAGATAACATCAGAATCAACCCCTTTCCCCACAAGTAAGTGCAACTGGATTTCCTGTTCTCGGGAAGACCACCACCCAGGGTCTTTCAGCTGCTCTGGTCCCACAGGGAAAGCAGCAGGGCCCGGCCCGGCAAGGCCCTTCCCCGCCTGCCCCGACCCGCTTCCTCGCATCTCAGTGGCGCGCAGGCCCACGCCGTCCAGCTCGGTCAGGAGGACAGACAGCACGCGCTCCTGGACATCACAGCCTGCTCCGCCACCAGCCGAGCGCCAGCCGGCCACCGAGTCGATTTCGTCCAGAAACACGATGGCGGGCGTGTTCGCTCTCGCTTGTCGAAATACCTTAGGTTGAGTGAGGAAAACGTCAGACGTTCACACTCCGCTGGGACGCCTGGAGGAGAGGCCTCTGCATTACAGCTTATGGTTTCAAAATAGAAAAAGGAAGACTGACTCTAAATGCTCGAGAACTGGGGAACAAAGAAATAAAACAAGGAATAATCAAGTGGTATGTAGGCATTCAATCATATTTTCAAGAGATATTTACATGAAATTTCAAAAGCAATCATGTTAAATTTAAAAAGTAGGGTAATGCTGTAGATGGATAAAATTTGACCTCTACTTTGTAAAACAAACAAACAAAAACAAAAAACAAAAAACCCCAAAACAGAAATCCACCAAAATATTAACAGGTAGAGATTATAAAAGGTCTTTTACTTATTTATTTTGGTTTTTGGAGACAGGATCCCACTGTGCAGCCCAGGCTGGCCTTGAACTTCCAGCGATCCTCCTGCCTCAGCCTCCCAAGTGCTGGGATCACAGGCGTGCGCCACCACACCCGGCTTTGCGAGTTCTCTTATTTAAACTTCCCTGCATTTTCTATGAATAAACGTGTATTTTTTCACATAGAAAAAAATATCTGTCTTCTTTTTGTCAAAAAAGGCTTTTCTATGAGGCGTGAAATAAGGGGTCCAAAGCAAGCATAAACACACAGGAAACCAGCAAACCTGAGCCAAGGCTTTTTCTGAATCGCCAACGAAAGGCGAGAAGAGCTCCGCTCCACTCAGTGAGACGAAGGCGCAGCGGCAGCTGGTGGCCAGGGCCCGCACCAGGGTGGTCTTGGCGCAGCCAGGCGGCCCGTGGAGCAGGAGGCCGCGGGGAGGCTTCAGGCCCATCCGGGCAAAGGCCTGTGGGAACCTCAGGGGCCACTCGATGCTCTGTGTGGAGGAGGAAGGTCCCTGAGGCCGGGCAGCCCCAGACCGAAGCCGGCTCCTCCCTCACACTTCCCTGCCTCCAGACCAGCGCCCCGCCCACCTCAGGAGCCCTCGCCGGTCAGTGCGCACAGGGTGCCTCCTTACCCTCCTCTCTGCCCAGGTGCCCCACAGTCTCCTCCCCATGCCGGCCGCAGCCTCCTCCTACTCCCCCTCTGGCCACCACCCTGCTTATACTTTCACTTTTTCTCTTGTCTTTGAGGCAGGGCCTCGCTCCATTGCCCAGGCTGGCTCAAACTTGCCACGATCCTCCTGCCTCAGCCTCCCGAGTGCTGGGAGCACAGGTAAGCACCACCACAGCTGGCCCACCTATACTGTTAGAACGCTTATTGACTTTGCTCATTTTCCCCTGTTGACTATGCTGTTCTGCTCTTGCTAGAACAGAAGCAAAGTTCCCCTCTAAATCTTCAGCACCTCTCGTGACACCTGTCTAACGCAGGTATTGGACAAACGTTAAGTGAACTATGAATGAGCCCTGTGTGCCTGGCTTTCCTGTTGTTATTTCAGATGCAGAAACTCAGACACAGACCTGCCCGCTCCTTTCTGCGTCAGCAGCATTGACATCGACCCCAGGCAATTTAATCCCCTTGCACCCGCTTTTCACTACTGCTGTAACCTCTACAGAAAGAGGGACAGCCCAGGCTGCACGCACCCTAGTTAGGGACACAGGCTCACGGGCCAACAACTGGCTGGAAAACAGCACCACTGGGGGAAGGAGCCCTACACACAGCGGGGTGACCTGGGAGCCCAGAGATCTCGCCAGCACCGGGGAGGGAGACGGGAGCAGCTGGGGAGGCAGGCGGAGGTCTGCCATGATTCAGTCGGCAGCCACCCTAAGGCTGCTGCGTCCCAGGGGCACACACCGGAAGCACAGGATGTCAGGCAGGCTGAGTTCTGGCTTTGATTGCGGGCAGGGAGCCGGGGTGACCACCGGGCCCGACACACGGTGGGGGCGAGCCTGGCCTCCAGCAGGCGGGCAGCTCCGGGGCATGAGGGCTAGAAGAGTCCCCGAGCTCCTCAGAGATCAAAGCCGGCAGTTTCTGGGGACAGCGGGGCCTCGGGGCACCAGCCCTGGATGGCAGGGAAGCCCACCCACAGCCGGGGGAGGAAGGCGTCAGAGGGAGGAAGCCCACTGCCCCCAGGTGGCACCGCTAGAGGGATTTTACAGCCGTATTCGTGGGGGCAGAGCTCACATGCAGGCTGGGGTCCAGCCCCTCAGAGCAGAACAGGAGGGGACCTGCGGAGGGCGCCCCCGTCCACCATGAGGTCACCCGCTCTGCAAACCCCACACCCTCTCGAGTCTAGGTCAGAACTCGGGGAAACTGAGGCTCAGCACTCGTATATGGGCAGCCCACAGACTCAGAATAGTTTATAGATTTTTTTAACATTTTAGGGTAAAGAAACTAATCAAAATAATGATAACAATGGGTAAACTTTGAAACGTATGATTTCCGTTAAGTGTGATTACAGCGGCAGGAGCCCTTCAGTGTCTGGCCAGGGCGTGGACACGGCAACCTGAGGCAGCTGGGGGGTCCCATTCGGAAGAGCCCTGGCTGGGTGTGGCCCCAGGTTTGAGTCTCGGCACAGGGAAAAGGAAGCTCAGGCCCGCACGCACACGGTGGCTTCTGAGCGTCCTCCACACTGTGAAGCCATCCTGGTCACTCACAGTAGCCGCGGCATAGTCAGCTCTCTGCACCGCCGGGCAGCTGAGAGAACAGCCTGCCCAGATGCAACTCCTGACCCAGGTCCTCCCCAGTGGTGGCCAAGTGTCCCCTCCCGGGTCCACCGCTGCTCCCGCCAGACAGCGGCACTGAAGCCCCTGAGGCTCACATGGCCAGCGGGCTCCCCGCGGAGAAACCCAGCCTGTCCTCCTGTCCTAGATCCCAGCGCAGTGCAGCGGTGACCACCAGAAGCGGGCTGAGGGGGAGCCAGGAGAGGTCGGGGGCAAGGGACACAGACGTCCGTGACTGCAGCGGGCGTCTCCGCGCCTGTTCTCGACACCGATGCACGGGACATTGGACCCCATCTGCCAGCCGAGCAGATTATCCGTTACCTGTTTCAGCTTCAGTTTTACGTCTTCCAGGCCACCGATCTCTTCCCAGTCCACAGGCCTGACGTCCAGCAGCCCGATGGCGCTTCGGAACGATGAAGGCTGGATCTTCTTAAAGGCGGCGTGGAAGTCCGCTCCCTCAATTGCAGGGCTGCCTTGGTGCTGAGGAAACACACCCCAAAAAGCACACCCGACAGGAAATCAGGAGGGCCTTCTTTGTGCTACGCAAGCACAATTATTTTCTTTAATCCTCTTTTGGAAATCTATTTTGTTATCATAAAATATATTTATATACATGGCACCCCCCCCAAAAGAACACCACTCAGCAAACCCCACTCACATTTACCATCAGCTAAGTATTCTTCTAGCACGTTTTGTGTCAGTAACATATGCATCCTTTCAGCAAGCTGACCTATGCTATATATGTATATATTATATATATATATATGTACAATATATATATAGTACATATTCTGTACTTTTTCGTCTATCTTAGAAATCCTTCTAACAATAGGTCAGTGTCAGCCTTGTTATTAAAGCTGCAGCTGAAGTCTATCTGCTCAGGGTTAAGCATTTTCTGTAATGATTTTCTCAAAGTGGAACTGCACATTTATAACCTTGGCAGCTACTACTAACATGTTCTCTGGAGAAGCTGCAACCGGTTATTTTCCTAGTGACGAGAGGCTGCTGCCCCAGCCACTCTGCATCACTGGATGTTGTCACACGTCTAGGTTTCAGCCCAGGGGACAGGAAGCAACGGTACTTGCTAAGCAACCACTAAAGTTCCTCCGTTCAGAGGGGGTGGAGGGAACGGAGGACTCACTTAGAAGTCACTGCTTTTGCAGCATTTACAGTAAAGGCTGGTGTGGCAAGAACAGGATGCCACATCTGTGTAAGCGAAGGTTTGGAGAGAGAGATCTGCACGTCTGTGTCTCATCACACATTTCTCGGGGGCAAGAAGGAACAGAGATGACAGAGGGCAGAAACTGGACACGACCTCGACTGGCTGATAATAGTCAGCCCACCAACGAGGAGCCCCTGACATCCTGTGCCTCTAAACATGGTACTGTGAGGACCCAATGTTGCTTATACAGTGTTCCCAAAAGGGATGTAGACCCCCAATCTGGCCATTCTACAAAACACGCCACCCGCCTCACCTACATCAATGTCAAATGTTTCAGATTAAAAAAAAATGTGTTCAAGATTTGGTGCAGGCCTATAATCCCAGCACTTGGGAGGCTGAGGCAGGAGGAGTGCTGAGAGTTGAAGGCTAGCATGGGCTGCACAGTGAGCTCAAGGCCAGCCTGAACTACACAGTAAGACCCTGTCTCAAATTAAAAAAAGGGCTCAAGATTAAAAAGACTAAAAGAAGTGCAATCTGCTATCCTGAATTAGATCCTGTTCAAAAGAAAAAAATGCTAAAAAAGATGAAGACATCTCTAAATGAGAAATTAGGCCACATATTTTGATAACAGTCTGTATCAGTGTTAAATGACTACACTGTGGCCATGTACGGACAACCTTGTTATTTATTTATTTGTTGGGGGGGTGGTACCAGGGGTTGAACTCGGGACCTTGCTCTTACAAGGAAGGTGGTGGCACCACTGAGCTAAATCCCTGGCCCTGGACAACCTTGTGTTTAGGAAACAATAATATGTGAAGGGCCACAGGGTCATGATTTGTGTGACCCATTGTCAGACGGCTTCTCCCAAAGCAAAAACTAAACAGGGTGCTCAAGTGTGCACACGGAGGGTGGGGAGAGTGACAGAGAGTGAGGAAGGTAATGTGATAAGGTGCTAAAGATCAGTGAATCTGGATGAAGGGTTTAACAGCTATTCACTACAACTATGCACCTTCCTTCAGTTTTAAAGTAAACTCACGAAAAACAAACCTGAAAAGGAATACTTTTAAACAAGATTAAGATGGAAGATTCTTCACGGTGATTGATATTCTTTTTATTATCAGCTCCTTGTCCCCCTGCCTTGCTGTCTGCTGTTGGTCTTGTCCCACTGATTTCTAAGAGTTCTTTCTGTATTAAGGAAACTGGGCTAAAAGTACTTTCCTTCCCAAGTGTTCAAATTAGCAAATCATACCCTTTCTCCTGTAAGATTTTATGTGTGTGTAGAAAGGCCACCTTCACATGGAGATTTTATTTTGTAAGGAGTCTTCCTTAGTTCCCTGATCAGTTTGGCAAAGCAAAATTTTGGTTAAAAACTCCTTATGTCTGCTTTGTCCATATTATATTTACTAAAGAATTTGTCCTCTCACATCAAATTCCAAACATTTAGTTGTTCACAAATCCCCATTTTTCAACAGCAATCCAACTTCTTATATGTTATGTTAGGTGGACAGATAGAGAGCTATTCTGGAAAGTATTTTCCAAAAATATAAACAATGGTAATCTCTGGGAGGCGAAGTTTCAGGCAAATTTTACTTTCTTTGTAACTTTGCCTATCCTGTTTAATTTCTCATGAAGAACATTAGCACATAATTTTTAAAATACAGTCACGTGTTGCCAACAACGGGGATGTCACAGTGAGTGACGCACCATTAACCAACTCTGCCGCTGAGTGGGCATCACACACACACACACACACACACACACACAGGCGTGGTGAAGCCTAGTGCAGGCTGTGTGCACCCACCCTGGTGCATCCGGCCTGTCGCTGAGCAGAGCACTTCTTACGGGCCAGCAGCCTTCCATTTCGGGGACCTGCACTCATGAGGCAAAGCCAGCTCACGTCTGAGAGTCCCACCCGCAGCGAGGGTCCCTTCCTGTTCATCATCTCACTCGCTCTTTCGGGCAGGGCGCATCCTCTCCCCTCCGTATTAGGCTACACCTGTGAACCTTTCACAGGAACACTTCACAAAAGGGTCACCAACTCTCACGGATCCTCGTCTGGCCGCCCCTCAGCGGCCCGGTAGGGAAAGAAGAAAAAGACGAGCCAGTACCTTCCCGGATGCCTCCGGCCCTTCTTCCTGTGCCTCTCTTCCTTGCACTCCCCCGGGCGCTTCCTGCACTCAGCCACTGCCCGTGGGAACTACACTTAGGCTCCTCCTGAAGCAGCAGCGGCTGACTGGTCCACCTAAGCCAGAGGCGCTCGGTCAAACTCGGATCTTTCAAAGCACAGGGGATCCTAAACCCACCTCATCCTTTCCCTCACAGGGGGCCCAGGCTCACACATCTACAATGCGGACTTTATGGAAATGGCACGCAGTGTGGGTTCTAAACATACAAGATGACCTAGAAGTCCACATAACTTCTCCCCGTCTTCAGTGTGAGAGTAAAAATAAAAGAAGAGTAAGATATTTCAGGAAAATCCCAAGGGCCCACTCTTCTGGTCAGGGAAGTTTGCTTTCCTACAAGGTACTTATGAATAACAAAGGGGAAACTAGTATCTTAGCACTGGAGAAATCTCAGATATAACATCTTATCCCAGAAAGCAAAGTTAACTTCGGTAGGTCTGAGAGATGCCACGTGGTGCATAGCAGACAACAGGGAAACCCCAGGGCCATTGCCGTGCTATTCCCACCCAAAATGCAACACCTGAATTGTGCAAGGAAACATCTGTCAGACAGGAGCTGAGGAACAGAGTATCTGACTCGAGCTACTAAAAAGTTAAGGTCATGAAAGACCAAAGGATGGTCCCAGACCAAGGTCTATTTGGACGAGGAAAAGCACGGTGTCAGTGTGAATTTCCTCGGCTTGATCATCTTCCCGTGGTTAGAGTTCTTGCTTTTAGCAAATAAACACCTAAAGTTTTCAAGGTGAAAGGGCATCACGCCTGCAGTATATTCTTAGATCGTTTCAGGAAAAAAATATAAACTCAAACACCTGATGACAAGATGGTAAATGTGGAAAAATGCGGTATTTGGAGAGCCTGGGTGAAGGGTATACAGAAATTCTTCATACTGTTTTTTGCAATTTTTGTCTGACATTGCTTCAAAGTCTGAAACTGCTTCACAATAATTAAAAAAAAAACCCAAATAAACGGATTCTTCTGGGGCCACACTGTCTCTTGTGGCTGCTCTGGGCTTCAGCAATAGGGGGCTGCTATGAGAGGAGAGATCCGCTGTACAGAACTGGAAGACTCCATCCTTACCTTGTAGTCGAGATATAAAAATACAGATAAGACACGGCTGTGGAAGCTGCCAAAGATTCCAAGAACGCGTACTTACCGCCTTTCCTGGAGCCCCGTACTAACCTGCTACATGAACAGAAAGACGGAGTGCAGCGGTCAGGCAGGCAGCAGCCCTCCTACCTTGTCGGCGCGGAGGAGCGCGAGCACTGCGGCCTCCCGGCACAGCGCCGTCAGGTCGGCGCCCACGTAGCCCACGGTCATCTGCGCGAGCTCATCTAGATCCACAGCCCTGGACACGGGCATCTTTGAGGTGATCACCTGCAGAATCGCCTTCCTCTGTTTCAGCGTGGGAGTCCCGATGATAACCTATGAGGGAATAAAGAGAAAAAGAAAATTAAAGTTTACAGTTTTAAGTGTCTCTTTATCCACACAACTAAACAGGAATTTAGCGAACCAGTCTGGATCTAGCGCCTTGCTCTTCTAAGTATACCTTAAGTTAGGAATGTATGAAGACCCCAATTTTTCAGTGGCATGATAAGAGGCTGCAAAATCACACAAATATACCATTCAACGAGTTTTTGTTATTTTAGGGAATCTACCAAGTTCTCAGAGCCAGGGACAGAGTAGTAAGCCACGTGGTTCAGGTCCCAGGTCCCGACCCAGATAGAGCACATTCTGGAGACAATTACTGGATGGTACAAGAAATCCACCCAAGCCCTGAACAGATTAATCTAAAAACGTACAACTTCCTCTCTTTATAGAATCCCACCACAAAATTCAAACATCACTTACTCGCTAAATTTCTTCCAAAAACCAAGAATCAGTCTAGGAACAAAATTACAAAACAGGGCAGCTTTGAACACTCAATCTTCCACCAACTGAAGGAGCGACTGTGGGTACTTTCTCACTTGTAACCAGTTAAAACTCTTTGGTGATGCAGAAGCCACAGCGAGAATGATTACTATGATTTCAGTGCAAACTACAGCCGGTACCCCATTTTCTGTGCAGAAAGCAGCATTACTGAACCACACAAGGTACAGAGCGGTGGCCTATTAAGCTGCACACTATGAGTCCTGGGTTAGCCACAAAATCGAGGGCCACCAGATGCTGAGCTCTGGAGAGGGTTGTCGGGCCGCAGAATCACCTATCCATCAACCAAGTCGCTGGTGACCACCCTGCCCAAACTCAGCTGCCGACGCTGCAATACGTGGTTCAGCCTGGTTCTACCATTCACTGCCATTTCTGACTCATTCTGATCCTTAGCCTGTAACACTCTGCCTCCTTTGAATTCCAGCAAAATCAATTTAGGATAAAGATCCCAAATTCCGTTTCAGGTCTCCTCTTGGTGTGCATATCCAAAACATGAGGAAAACGCAGTCATGCTGTTGCACTCATATCTGACAGAATTAATGTGGTGCAACACATTTAGAACTAATGCTTTCAATTCCCCTTTACTGCATAATACAAGGACAGTTTCCTGTTAACTAAGATGAACCCATGGCTTTTGGTTTCAGGACAAATTCTTCAATTAGATACATGTGAGAGACAACTGTGCAGCTCATCTGTAGGACAGCATGCTAGTGTCCTGATAAGGCATGAGATTAAAACTTTGGCTTCGTTCTTCCTTTCTTCTCCCTTTTCATTTCAACACTTCTTGAAGCTACTTTTATTTTAAATTCTCATTCATACTGAATAGGCTTGTAAGAGATCAGGCTCCCTGAAGGATTCACCTGATAATAGTAGGGCTTATCTTCAGGACCTGCACAATGACACTAGTTTCTAGATGCCCCTCATCTCTAGGGACAAACTGACTCTTGGAAAACGGCCTGGTTGGCAGATCATACATGGGCACTGCCTGTGTTTTCTGCGGTACAAAGAGCCCTGGACTGACTTCCCCGGTTCCCGGAGCGAAGAAGCCCAGGGACAAGGCCACCGGCCGGGCCCATTCACCTCGCGGTCGAACCTCCCGGGTCTGCGCAGCGCGGGGTCCAGCGCGTCGGGCCGGTTGGTGGTCCCCACCACCACCACGTCGCGGTCCCCGTCGAAGCCATCCAGCAGCGTCAG